TGAGTCAAGTACAACTCCCATCGTCCAGGGTCATCTCCCCTCCAAAAACTCGCCAGTATGTAAAGTTGGGCATGGGGATCTGTGTGCCAAGTTTGGTCCAGATCCATCATCAGTGGGATTCACAGTGGTCTCTAGATATGGATGAACTACAACTCCCATCATCCAAGGTCACCCCATTCTCCCCCCCCAAAACCCATGCCAATATGTAAAGTTGGTCATGTAGGGACCATGTACCAAGTTTGGCCTAGATCCATCATTGGTGGGGTTCACAGTGGTTTCTGTATGTGGGTGAATTACAACTCCTAATGTCCACAGTCACCCCCACCCAAAAAAAAAACACCCCACCAATATGTAAAGTTGGTCATGTAGGGTCCATGTGCCAAGTTTGGTCCAGATCCATCATTGGTAGGGTTCACAGTTGCTTCTGGATATGGTTGAATTACAACTCCTAACATCCAAGGTCACCCCCCCAAAAACCCCACCAATATGTGAAATTGGTCATGGGGGAGGGTCTATGTGCCAAGTTTGGTGGGAGTCACAGGGCTCTCTGGATGTGGGAGGCATCTGGGTGGGGCTCACAGTGGTCTCCGGAGTTGAGTCAACTACAACTCCCATCATCCAGGGTCATCTCCTCCCCAAAAACTCACCAATATGTAAAGTTGAGTATGTGCCAGATCCATCATTGGTGGGATTCACAGTGGTCTCTGGATGTGGGTGAACTACAACTCCCATCATCCAAAGTCATCCTCCCAAAAACCCCACCAATATGTGTAATTGGGTGGGGGGGGGGGGTCTATGTGCCAAGTTTGGTGGAAGTCATAGGGCTCTCTGCATGTGGGAGGCATCTTGGAAAATACGTCCGAACATAGGCAGATACATACATAGGTGCATATATTGAGTTTTGTTTATATGTATATATGTGTTTTGGAAGCAGTGTTGATTCCAAAACACAGCCCAATCTTAGAGACAATTCATATGGTAAAGTAGTGTGTCTTACAATCGAAGAAATTGTAACCATTCGACTCCAATTGTCCACGAAGAGAAGACACACTTGGTTATGTCAACAGAGCCTTTTAATTGAAGCAGATGATTTGCAATGTTAATTTTTTTCCATTGTTTCTCTTTTCCTTTATGTTTCTGTGTTTCTTAACTCTTCAACGGTATCCACCCCTCCTTGCATGTCTCAGTGCCCAAAGGTCCCCACAGAGGTAACTTGAGTCATTAGGCTCGCCTAATGACCGGGATACGTGCGTTATCCCACTGGAGTGTGCTTGAACCGTGAACCCCCGTTTGCTCTAACCCCGATGCCTAACATCTGCTTTGTGGTGCCTCCCTTGCTTTCCCGTTGCTTCCTTAACCTAGGAATATGCGCGTAACCCCTTTGAAGGTGGTGGCCTGTGTTTTGGCGTGTGGAATTTGGCATTGCTTTTGTGAAGTGGAGAGCACATCTATGGGAACTGTCTCTGATTAGATATGGAATGGGTGACACCTAGATTGGAAACAGTCCATGCGAAAGGGATTTAGGAGTCTTAGGAGGCCACAAGGTGGACATGAAGCAACATTGTGATGCGGGCAGATCAAAAAAGCAATGGTTGCATCAACAGTGTCTAGAGGAGCCATGGACCAACTTGGGTCCTCCAGGTGTTTTGGACTTCAACTCCCACCTGGAGTCCAAAACACCTGGAAGAGGGCCAAAGTAGGCCCATGTCTGGTCTAAAAGGTAGGGTCCTGCTAGAATAATGGTTCTCAACCTGGGGTCCCCAGATGTTTTTGGCCTTCAACTCCCAGAAATCCTAACAGCTGGTAAACCTGCTGGGATTTCTGGGAGTTGTAGGCCAAAACATCTGGGGACCCCAGGTTGAGAACCACTGGTCTAGAGGAGCCATGGACCAACTTGGACCCTCCAGGTGTTTTGGACTTCAACTCCCACCTGGAGTCCAAAACACCTGGAAGAGGGCCAAAGTTGGCACATGGATCTTGTGCTGAGTTGCTACAGCAGTGGTTCTCAACCTGGGGTCCCCAGATGTTTTTGGCCTTCAACTCCCAGAAATCCTAACAGCTGGTAAACTGGCTGGGATTTCTGGGAGTTGTAGGCCAAAAACATCTGGTGACCCCAGGTTGAGAACCACTGGTCTAGAGGAGCCATGGACCAACTTGGACCCTCCAAGTGTTTTGGACTTCAACTCCCACCTGGAGTCCAAAACACCTGGAAGAGGGCCAAAGTTGGCACATGGGACAACAAGTTATACATGAGCCAACAATGTGATGTGGCGGCAAAAAAAGCCAATGGGATTTTGGCCTGCATCAATAGGAGCATGGTGTCTAGGTCCAGGGAAGAGATGCTACCCCTCTATTCCGCCTTGGATAGACCACACCTGGAATATTGTGTCCAATTCTGGGCACCACAATTCAAGAGAGATATTGACAAGCTGGAATGTGTCCAGAGGAGGGCGACTAAAAAGATCAAGGGTCTGGAGAACAAGCCCTATGAGGAGCGGCTTAAGGAGCTGGGCATGTTTAGCCTGAAGAAGAGAAGGCTGAGAGGAGATATGATAGCCATGTATAAATATGTGAGAGGAAGCCACAGGGAGGAGGGAGCAAGTTGTTTTCTGCTTCCCTGGAGACTAGACACGGAACAATGGCTTCAAACTACAAGAGAGGAGATTCCATCTGAACACGAGGAAGAACTTCCTGACTGTGAGAGCCGTTCAGCAGTGGAACTCTCTGCCCTGGAGTGTGGTGGAGGCTCCTTATTTGGAAGCTTTTAAACAGAGGCTGGATGGCCATCTGTCAGGGGTGATTTGAATGCAATATTCCTGCTTCTTGGCAGGGGGTTGGACTGGATGGCCCATGAGGTCTCTATGATTCTAAGATTCTATGACTGAGATGAGCAGGAAACAAATGAACTCTTCCCATGGAAACCCAGGGCTTGTAGTTTGGTGAAACGGTCGAACAATCTGGGAGTATGACTTGCCCAAATTCATTCATATTCCAGAGATAAGTGTCATTTGAGCCCTGATCTTCTAGAGCAGTGGTTCTCAACCTCTGGGTCCCCAGATGTTTTGGCCTTCAACTCCCAGAAATCCTAACAGCTGGTAAACTGGCTGGGATTTCTGGGAGTTGTAGGCCAAAACACCGGGGGACCCACAGGTTGAGAACCACTGTCTAGAGCAGCGGTTCTCAACCTTTTTTAAGCAGAGGGCCGGCTCACAGTCCCTCAGATTGTTTTTATAGACTGAATGTGGTGTTAAATTGTAGGGCACGAGATCAAGGTTGTAGAGCAGTGGTTCTCAACCTGGGGTCCCAGATGTTTTTGGCCTTCAACTCCCAGATATCCTAACAGCTGGTAAACTGGCTGGGATTTCTGGGAGTTGTAGGCCAAAAACATCTGGGGACCCCAGGTTGAGAACCACTGGTCTAGAGGAGCCATGGACCAACTTGGACCCTCCAGGTGTTTTGGACTTCAACTCCCACCTGGAGTCCAAAACACCTGGAAGAGGGCCAACCAGTTAAACATGAGCCAACAATGTGATGTGGCGGCAAATAAAGCCAAGGGATTTTGGCCTGCATCACTAGGAGCATAGTGTCTAGATCTAGGGAAGTAATGCTACCCCTCTATTCCGCTTTGGTTAGACCACACCTGGAATATTGTGTCCAATTCTGGGCACCACAATTCAAGAGAGATATTGACAAGCTGGAATGTGTCCAGAGGAGGGCGACTAAAATGATAAGGGTCTGGAGAACAAGCCCTATGAGGAGCGGCTTAAGGAGCTGGGCATGTTTAGCCTGAAGAAGAGAAGGCTGAGAGGAGATATGATAGCCATGTATAAATATGTGAGAGGAAGCCACAGGGAGGAGGGAGCAAGCTTGTTTTCTGCTTCCCTGGAGACTAGGACGCGAAACAATGGCTTCAAACTACAAGAAAGGAGATTCCATCTGAACATGAGGAAGAACTTCCTGACTGTGAGAGCCGTTCAGCAGTGGAACTCTCTGCCCCGGAGTGTGGTGGAGGCTCCTTCTTTGGAGGCTTTGAAACAGAGGCTGGACGGCCATCTGTCGGGGGTGCCCATACCTGCCCCATAGCACCTCGCCTTCGTTTTGTCCTTCTTGACAGTCGTAAGGCAGAAGGAAGAGCTGAGATGACCTTGCATTGGTTTTGCAGCTGGGTGCGGAGAGAAGCTGTTACTGTGCAAATTTAGCAAATCGAGCAAAAGCTGGTGAAATGTTTCTAAAATTAGAGTTCATAGGAACAGCTTTACAAGTTCTTGGGGTTTTTTATTACGAGTTTTTTTTTTTCAATTCCCCCAGTTGAGGAAATTAGATGCTCACAGAAAGTATAATGCGGCATTTTGTAGTTTTCAGAAGATGAGACTATAGCGAGGAGGACTCCATTCAAAGTGGCACCTGACCCTGAGCAAAACCTATTTGGGTTCTGGCCTTCTTGGGATGGTGGAGCACACCATACGAGGGTTGAATGAAAAGTAATGCCTCCACCTTCGTTACTTGGGCTTGGATGGGAATATTTTAATAAATCAAACGCAGAAATAAACCTTAGAATGTGCTCTTTGAATACCACTATTCACTTTCCCACATAATCACTAGACAATTGGATATATTTCTGCCAACGATGAACAAGTTTTCCGAAGCCATCACGAAAGAAGTCGACACTCTCTTTCCGCAATCAGCATCTCACAGTTCTCTCATCCTGGGTACCCATCGTGCACAGATCTTCCGATAGCCAAGCAAAGCAATAATGTGACCCACACGATCCTGTGAAATGCCGATTATTCTTGAAATTTCTCTCTGAGTGATACGACGATCGTCCTGAATCAATCTGTCAACCTTTTGCTTGTGAAACTCGGTGTTGCTGTCACAGGACATCCAACTCTTTGTTTGTCATGCAAGTCAGATGTTCCCACCTCAACATCTTTAAACTTACTCGCCCAACGATGCACAGTATTCACATCAACACAATCACCATAAACAGCTTGCATTCTCTGATGAATCTCCTTTGGGGTGACACCTTCTGCTGTCAAGAATTCAATGACGGCACATTGCTTAAGTCGCATTGACCACCCATCTACAGGGTTCCATACTTCACACTTTAACAACACAACTGTTCAATGCTAAGGCTTCCTGCCAAAATGGAACTGTAGAGGAGAGTCTACTGAACAAGCCAGTACCTGTTGCATACCAGTACTGCCTGTTGAGGAGTTACAAAGGTGGAGGCATTACTTTTCATTCAACCCTCCAAAATGGAACTGTAGAGGAGAGTCTACCGAACAAGCCAGTACCTGCCATACCAGTACTGCCATCTGTTGAGGAGTTACGAAGGTGGAGGCATTACTTTTCATTCAACCCTCCAAAATGGAACTGTAGAGGAGAGTCTACCGAACAAGCCAGTACCTGCCGCATACCAGTACTGCCATCTGTTGAGGAGTTACGAAGGGAGGCATTACTTTTTCTGCTAAGGCTTCCTGCCAAAATGGAACTGTAGAGGAGAGTCTACTGAACAAGCCAGTACCTGCCGCATACCAGTACTGCCATCTGTTGAGGAGTTACAAAGGTGGAGGCATTACTTTTCATTCAACCCTCCAAAATGGAACTGTAGAGGAGAGTCTACCGAACAAGCCAGTACCTGCCGCATACCAGTACTGCCATCTGTTGAGGAGTTACAAAGGTGGAGGCATTACTTTTCATTCAACCCTCCAAAATGGAACTGTAGAGGAGAGTCTACCGAACAAGCCAGTACCTGCCGCATACCAGTACTGCCATCTGTTGAGGAGTTACGAAGGTGGAGGCATTACTTTTCATTCAACCCTCCAAAATGGAACTGTAGAGGAGAGTCTACCGAACAAGCCAGTACCTGCTGCATACCAGTACTGCCATCTGTTGAGGAGTTACGAAGGTGGAGGCATTACTTTTCATTCAACCCTCTAAAATGGAACTGTAGAGGAGAGTCTACCGAACAAGCCAGTACCTGCCGCATACCAGTACTGCCATCTGTTGAGGAGTTACAAAGGTGGAGGCATTACTTTTCATTCAACCCTCCAAAATGGAACTGTAGAGGAGAGTCTACTGAACAAGCCAGTACCTGCCGCATACCAGTACTGCCATCTGTTGAGGAGTTACGAAGGTGGAGGCATTACTTTTCATTGAACCCTCCAAAATGGAACTGTAGAGGAGAGTCTACCGAACAAGCCAGTACCTGCCGCATACTAATACTGCCATCTGTTGAGGAGTTACAAAGGTAGAGGCATTACTTTTCATTCAACCCTCCAAAATGGAACTGTAGAGGAGAGTCTACCGAACAAGCCAGTACCTGCCACATACCAGTAATGCAATCTGTTAGACCGATGCTATTGCATTTTCCCACCCTGCTTGTACATCAGCTGGCCAGGAGAAGATTCAACAGGATTCAATTGGAAAATATTTTGAGGCATTGTTGCAGAGATCTTGTGGCGGTGTGAGGAAAGAGAGCACAATGTTCCAAGGAGCGGCTGATGTGAGAATTAGTTTAATGAAGTCTGACCTTGGTGTCCGGCCGGTTGGCAAAGGCTTCTCCAGACAACCAATAAATAAGTTCTTTCTCATCTTTCTCAATCACAATCCGTTTGCGTGAGACTCCAGTGCATAGAATCAAAGAGTTGGAAGAGACCTCAGGGGCCATCCAGTCCAACCCCATTCTGCCAAGAAGCAGGAATATTGCATTCAAATCACCCCTGACAGATGGCCATCCAGCCTCTGTTTAAAAGCCTCCAAAGAAGGAGCCTCCACCACACTCCGGGGCAGAGAGTTCCACTGCTGAACGGCTCTCACAGGAAGTTCTTCCTCATGTTCAGATGGAATCTCCTTTCTTGTAGTTTGAAGCCATTGTTCTGCGCCCTAGGAGTAGCCATACTGCATAATTAGAGCAGATCAGTCCCATGTCTGGTGTTAGATGTCTATTTGAGAAATCAGATACCAGCTTCTTGGAAGTATCTGTCAAGATTTGAAGCAATGCGCACCGGCACAACCAGGTCTTCTGCAGCGGTCTTGAGCTGAGAAAGAGACAAAGCAATAAGGCCCCACTGCAATGATTAAGGATCTGGAGAACAAGCCCTATGAGGAGCGGCTTAAGGATATGGGCATGTTTAGCCTGAAGAAGAGAAGACTGAGAGGAGATATGATAGCCACGGGGAGGAGGGAGCAAGCTTGTTTTCTGCTTCCCTGGAGACTAGGACGCGGAACAATGGCTTCAAACTACAAGAGAGGAGATTCCATCTGAACATGAGGAAGAACTTCCTGACTGTGAGAGCCGTTCAGCAGTGGAACTCTCTGCCGGAGTGTGGTGGAGGCTCCTTCTTTGGAAGCTTTTAAACAGAGGCTGGATGGCCATCTGTCAGGGGTGCTTTGAATGCAATATTCCTGCTTCTTGGCAGAATGGGGTTGGACTGGATGGCCCAGGAGGTCTCTTCCAACTCTTTGATTCTATGATTCCCTTGCGCTGAATATTCCCTTGTGCTTCATTGGCTTGTAGAAGAAGAGTTTTTGCAACTTCGGAGTTGTGAAAATGGCTGGTCTCTGTCTCTGGGGGCAGATGGGTTGTAGGGAAGAGACCACGTCCTTCCATCTAGGACCAGAACGGTGTTTCTTCCAGCAGGGTCATTCTCTCCTCGTCCGTCTTTGATTCCTTGTGCTAGTGATGCTTCCTTTGGGTGTTGGCGATCTTCTCATTCTGGAGTTGTGGTGCTTCTGGTTTTATCTCTGTGGATATCTTTTCCTCCTCTTTCCTTCCAGAACCGTTGGGAAAGCCATCAAGACGTATCGCAAGCCTCGGCACAATCCAACAAGTCCAGACCGAGTCTCCTGGCGTCTCCGCAGCAGAACGGCTCTGCCAATCCAGGTAAGAAAGGATTCCATGGCCAGCACCAGAATGAAGGGCTTTGGGTTATCACACCTCATCACCATGTCCAGAAGGGTCAAAGCTTACAACAGGGTCTTCTCACTGGCGGCAACTTGTTATGGAATTCCCTTTCCTAGAGATTAGAGTCATGCCAACTTTGGTTAGTTTTGGGGAAACAATGATGGTCCTGTAACAATGTATTTTACCAATACAATGTAATTACCTCTCAACAAAAGTTTGCTCTAGGCACTGTCAGGCCATTATATGCTATTCAAGGTGATCAGTTGAAACATTCACACCTAGCTCCAGCAGACAAGAGTTCTTTGTCCCATCCCGGTATTTATTTGTTTCACGCACAAAATGTCTAAACTATTGTATAAAATTACTTTTGGGCTAAGTGCATAAGATGTATATGAAACATACATAAATATTATGATAATAAATAAATTGTCCGTAGACACCTCCAAGGTCATGTGGCCAGCATGACTGCATGGAGCACCATTACTTTCCCCGAAGCAATACCTATTGATCTACTCACATTTGCATGTTTTCAAACTGCTATGTTGGCAGAAGCTAGGGTTAACAGCGGGAGCTCACCTCGCTCCCCGGATTCAAACCACCAACCTTCTGATCAGCAATATGTACGCATATAGAATTACAGAGCAGAATTTGGAAGTTAGCTTTTTGGTCACGTTAGATAGGATTGTAGATGATGGAATTTAAGAAGTAAAATCTGGCTACCAGTATTTAAAAACCTCTAAAATTACAACAGCAAAGCAACAGAGGGGAACAAATCAAGGATATCTAATCACCTCTCAACAAAAGATTGCCCCAGGCACTGCCAGGCCATCAAATGCTAATCAAGGTGGTCAGTTGAAACATTCACACCTAGCTCCAGCAGACAAGAGTTCTTTGTCCCACCTGGTCATTCCACAGATATATAAACCCTTTTTCCTAGTTCCAAAACACCTCACTACCTCTGAGGATGCTTGCCATAGATGCAGGCGAAACGTCAGGAGAGAATGCCTCTAGAACATGGCCATATAGCCCGAAAAAACTTACAACAACCCAGTCTTGTAACATTTTGATTAGATTGTTGAGTCAAGAATATTAAACCAAGGTAGCTGAAGGATAGCATGTGTGGGCTTTTAATACTATCTGGTTGATGCATTTTTTGCTGATTATATTGCTTTATTTGGAACTCCCGGTGACACAGTGGGTCAAACCACTGAGCTGTTGAACTTGCTGATCAAAAGGTCACAGGTTTGAATCTGGAGAGTGGGGTGAGCTCCCGCTGTTAGCCCCAGCTTCTGCCAACCTAGCAGTTCGAAAACATGCACATGTGAGTAGATCAATAGGTACTGCTTCGGTGGGAAGGTAATGACACTCCATGCAACCATGCTGGCCAAATGTTCTTGGAGGTGTCTACAGACAATGCTGGCTCTTTGGCTTAGAAATTGAGATGAGCACACACACACACCCCCCCCCAGGAAATGTTCTTGGAGGTGTCTACAGACAATGCTGGCTCTTTGGCTTAGAAATTGAGATGAGCACACACACACACACACCAGAGTTGGATACGACTAGACTTAATGTCAGGGGAATACCTTGACCTATTGCTTTATTTTAACCTGAATGTATAATTTATTTTATTTATTTATTTACAGTATTCATATTCTGCCCTTCTCACCCCGCAGGGGACACAATGTACACATATATGGCAAACATTGAATGCCAAATACACACAACAGATAGAGACAGACAGTCAGAGGCTATTTAACTTTTTCTGGCCGCCAGAGGAGCTGTCGCTTTCATCGTCCATCTGCGACACTGATGAAGTACTTCCGCATTCCCCGCATGCTTTGCTGGAGTCTTTTTTATGGCCTCATAAATTAGTTAAATTAGCCTCCCCACACATAGGTGGTACCTAATTTTCCTACTTGACAGATGCAACTGTCTTTTGGGTTGCAAAGGTCGACAACAAGCTACACAATTGGTCGGAAGCTCACTCCAACCTGGGCTGGCTTCGAACTCATGACCTTTTGGTCAGAAGTGATCTTAATGCAGCTGACACTCAGCCAGCTGCGCCACAGTCCGACATTTTCATCCAGGCCACTGGGAAAGAATCATAGAATCATAGAGTTGGAAGAGACCTCATGGGCCATCCAGTCCAACCCCCTGCCAAGAAGCAGGAATATTGCATTCAAATCACCCCTGACAGATGGCCATCCAGCCTCTGTTTAAAAGCTTCCAAAGAAGGAGCCTCCACCACACTCCGGGGCAGAGAGTTCCACTGCTGAACGGCTTTCACAGTCAGGAAGTTCTTCCTCATGTTCAGATGGAATCTCCTTTCTTGTAGTTTGAAGCCATTGTTCCGCGTCCTAGTCTCCAAGGAAGCAGAAAACAAGCTTGCTCCCTCCTCCCTGTGGCTTCCTCTCACATATTTATACATGGCTATCATATCCCCTCTCAGCCTTCTCTTCTTCAGGCTAAACATGGCCAGCTCCTTAAGCCGCTCCTCATAGGGCTTGTTCTCCAGACCCTTTATCATTTTAGTCGCTCTCCTCTGGACACATTCCAGCTTGTCAATATCTCTCTTGAATTGTGGTGCCAAAACCTTTCCAACATTTCACATTGGTGGCATGCTTTTTAGACATTTGCAACATTTGATGACACAGCCATTCGGTTTTATTGGCCAAACAGATGTTAAACCAAGAAATAAGGACACAGACATAAATGGTAATAACAAAATGTATGGCAACACAACATACCTCATGAAAACCTTTCCTGAGATTTTTGTCATTACATTTATGCGACACTTCTACATGCTGCAGTCGACACAATAATGTGTTGTGACACACCGTTGGAAACGCTCTGACTTAAGAGACTTGAGATGGCTTCTAGGTGCTTATCTATGACTCGTGCAATAGGCAGAAAATAGAGATACTGTGCATTTACATGCTTGTTATTGTTTGCAGGACTCGGTGGCCTCGCTGCTACTTACTTGAATCCTGTGAAGTCTTTTGTGCCTCAGATGCCAAAGCTGCTTAAATCCCTGTTTCCGGTTAGAGATGAGAAAAAGGGAAGGCAAACCTCTCCGCTCATTCCGCAGGTAAAACTGAAGCACGTTAAATAAAGGGCCTGTTATGAAGTATATTTATTATTTACTAGCTGTCCCCTGCCACGCGTTGAGAGAGAGAGAGAGACAGAGACAGAGGTGGAGATGCCCACCTTTCCTGAAGGTAGGCGCAAAAACAAAGGAGGGAGCGGAGGTGGGAGATACCTCCAGCCGGAGGGTCTCTCTCTCTCTCTCTCTCTCTCTCTCGGTCCCAATGGCTGAAGAGAAAGTCAGGAGAAGAGGCGACTTTTGGTGCACATGCTGGGGTCTTCAGACACACCTCCGGACCCAAAGTGGGCCAGGCATGGCCCACCAGCAGATTGGGGAGAGGAGAGGAGGTGGGTGGAGCGCCGGGGGATCGGGAAAGGGAGTCGGTCATGGGGAAGGGATCAAACGTGGAGAACGATTGAGTGCCGCGGCTCTGCTCGCGCACCCGGTGGCCAGGTGGAGCAGGAATGAGAGGGGCTAGGTGAGGCTCAAGGGCCCGGCCCCTTTGGGAAGAGGATCGCCCGGCAGCGAGGCAAGAAAGCTGAGGCTCCCCCCGGACTGCTAGGGCTGTTGTGAGCTGAGGGGGCGCTCCTCAAGTGGCAGTTGAGGGGCATTTACAGAGGCACCTCTGCACCCCTGGCAAAAAAAAAGTTCTACGACCGCTTACTTCGCGTAATGGACGAACCGCCCCTGGTGGTACCTAATTTTCCTACTTGACAGATGCAACTGTCTTTCGGGTTGCAAAGGTCGACAGCAAGCTACACAATTGGCCGGAAGCTCACTCCACCCGGGCTGGCTTCGAACTCATGACCTTTTGGTCAGAGTGATCTTAATGCAGCTGACACTCAGCCAGCTGCGCCAAAATCCCGGTGCCCGGATCACTCAGTTCAATGAGTGGCTGAGCTTCTCGTATACTTCTGCAAAGATGTTTATATGTGAAAAGGATTTTTAGGCTCTTCAGTGCCTGTTTTTGCCTTTGAGTTGCCTGTCGACTTTTGGGGAACCCATGCATTTTCTGGAGTTTTCTTAAGCAAGGAAATCGCAGAGTTGGTTTTGTTCCTTCCTTTGAAACAGTTCGAAAACATGCAAATGTGAGTAGATCAATAGGTACCGCTCCGGCGGGAAGGTAACGGTGTCCATGCAGTCATGCCGGCCACATGACCTTGGAGGTGTCTATGGACAACGCTGGCTCTCGGCTTAGAAATGGAGATGAGCACCACACCCCAGAGTCAGACATGACTGGACTTAATGTCAGGGGACAACCTTTACCTTTACCTTGGACACAGAGCCTATTGAACCTTGTATTTCTTGTGGTCTCCCATCCAAATAATAACCAGGACCGGCCCTGCTTAGCTTTCAAGATCAGGCAGGACTTGGTGCCTTTAAGGCATGCTGACCTTGTGTTCTTTCTACTGTAGTAATATAAAAAGATGGACTCCGAAGGGCCGCATATTCTTTTTGAAAAAATCAAACTTTACATTTTTATTCAGTGTATGTCTTGCCTCCGAAAGAGAGAGAGAGAGAGCCAAGGAATGGCATTTCAATATCTATTATTCTATTAAATTTTGTAAAGGTTAGCTTTTAAAAGTAGCGATTTGAGCTGAATATCAAGTACATACAATAACCGTTTCGCGATGCTGGAAAAGCACAATCAAAGCCGTTTAAAACTCCAGTTCCTCGACATTAATTACGAGTCTTCTCCCCAGTAGCCAAGATTTAGCTCTGAACTAACCTTCACGAAAGGATAATTGCAAAGCACAGCAGAAAAAGGCCCCCGGCTCTTGAAGCAAAAGTTTAAATCATTTGCCAGCAAAGTGAGGTGCAAATTTAATAAATATGTGGCTTGGTACCATCAACCTAACAAGTTGAGAACTATCTTAAAATAAGCCGTGTTCTAGATGCATTCTCTCCTGACGTTTCGCCTGCATCTATGGCAAGCATCCTCAGAGGTAGTGAGGTCTGTTGGAAGTAGGAAAAATGGGTTTATATATCTGTGGAATGACCAGGGTGAGACAAAGGACTTTTGTCTGCTGGGGCTAGCTGTGAATGTTTCAGCTGATCACCTTGATTTGCATTCAATGTCTTGGAAGTGCCTGGGGGGAATCTTTTGTTGAGAGTGATTTTATGTGCCTGTTTGTTTCCCTCTGTTGTTTTGCTGTTGTAATTTTTGAGTTTTTTTAATACTGGTAGCCAGATTTTGTTCATTTTCATGGTTTCCTCCTTTCTGTTGAAATTGTCCACATGCTTGTAGATTTCAGTGGCTTCTCTGTGTAGTCTGACATGGTGGTTGTGAGAGTGGTCCAGCATTTCTGTGTTCTCAAATAATATCCTGTGTCCAGGCTGGTTCATCAGGTGCTCTGCTATGGCTGATTTCTCTGGTTGGAGTAGTTTGCAGGGCCTTTCATGTTCCTTGATCTGTGTTTATTATTATTATTATTATTATTATTATTATTATTATTATTATTATTATCCCTCTTCATCTCTCTCCTTTTCTTCCTCCTCTTTTCTTCCTTCCTCTTTCCTTTCTTTCCTCTCCTCCTCTTTCCCTCTTATCCCCCTTCCTTCTATTCTTTTCCTTCTCTTCTTTTCCCCTTGCTCACTTTCCCAGCTCACAATGTCTTCATAGCACTTTGGCTCTCATTGTGGCTCTTTCCTTCCTCCCTCCGTTCCCCTCATGCGCATGTCTCCTTTCCGAGTGACATTGCAGAGGGCCACTTCACCTAGCCTTTGTTGGACTAATAGACAGACAGACAAACAAACATACTTTGAGATAGATAGAGATAGACAGACAGACTTGACCACGGTGGTCCACGCTCTGGTTACATCCCGAATAGACTACTGCAATGCACTCTACGTGGGGTTGCCTCTGAAGACTGCCCAGAAGCTTCAACTAGTCCAGTGATGGGCAACCTTTTGAGCTTGGTGTGTCAAAATTTGCCAAAAACCTGGGTGGGGTGTCAACTTCGAGAAAAAAACCCCATAATTTTGCAATATTTATAGTTTCAATAAGAAAAATGTATATTCCATGCTGAGTTATGGAGTGAACAATGCTCAAACGTGCAGATGTTAAATTTGTAGAGCCTTTTACAAATTTAAGGATGGAATTAGATTGGCTCTTATAAGGTGTACTTCTCTGTGTCTGCGTGTCATCAAAAATAGCCATGCGTGTCAGTGCTGGCACGCGTGTCATAGGTTCACCATCATGGAACTAGTCCAACGCTCGGCAGCCAGGTTGCTCACCGGAGCAGGGTGCAGGGAGCACACTACGCCCTTGCTACGCCAGCTCCACTGGCTGCCTATCAGCTTCCGAGCACAATTCAAAGTGCTGTCTTTAGCCTACAAAGCCCTGAAAGGTTCTGGCCCAGTTTACTTGTCCGAACGTATCTCCCGCTACGATCCACCTAGGGCCTTGAGATCATCCGGGGAGACCCTGCTCGTTGTCCCCCCATCATCGCAATCGCGTTTGGTGGGGACAAGGGAGAGGGCCTTCTCTGTGGTGGCCCCTGGGCTGTGGAACTCCCTCCCAAGTGAAATTAGATCTGCTCCATCCTTCCTGACCTTTCAGAAACAAGTGAAATACTGGCTATGGGATCAGGCCTTTGTAGATTAGGTTGACCTGCTGACGTGACGGCTTTTATGGAACTGACTGACTGCGCCTTGGACGATGACTTAAACTGGTAACTGTTGACTGTTTGTTTTTATACTGTATTATACTGGTTTATACAGTTTTATAATGTTTTATTGCTATATTTTTATTTAAATTGTATATTTATGTTTGGTTGTGGGCACCATGGGGTGCTAGTTTGTAGCCCCCATGAGTCCCTCTGTGGAGGTCGAGATAGAACGGGGTACAAATGCCCGAAATAAATAATAGATAGATAGATAGACAGACAGACAGACAGACACACACACACACACATACATACAGTAGTCAAGGAAGTCACAGATCTGAGCCAAACTGTTGATGACAGGGAGACCTGGAAGTCGTGGATATATATATATTATATATATATAGGGTTGACCAATGTCAAAGACAACTTGACAGCAGTTAACAACGCAACCCACAACCCCAACATGGTCCAGGCCTCCCATGTCCCACCTTCCAAAGCTTGGCAGCATTTCTCTTCTCTGCTTAGACCCTGGGTGTGTGTCAGTGGGAAGCAAGGGCAGGAAGCATAGAATCATAACTTAAAAATAGAACTACATTTTCTATTTGGCAAAACACAAACAACACTAAGTGCACGTCATAAATTTCACCATTGTTGCTGGAATTGATGTTACCGTAAATCACATTAGTCGAAAAGGCTTGGAGCTAGCTCTAATAAATAATATAAATAAAATAAATTAAAATGGCATTCAGACCAACCAACTTGATATCAATAAGTCTCAATAGTGCCACTCTTTTCCATCTTCAGCAAAGGGCATCTGGTCAGGTTGCCCGAAGCTTCCAAGAGAGAAGAATGGTGATCAGTAAGGATAATATTTAGTATGCATAGAGCATTTTCCCTAATTGTTTGAAAGTGTTTTGCCGCCCTTTTGTGAAGGTATCTCACCAGACATCCTCTCCCAGACAGAGTAATCTTGTTTTAATGAGGAATTGCTGGTCCTGATTGTGTCGTGTTTTGGGAGTATGTGGCCTCCTTCATTGTGGTCTTAGCTTGTCTTCCCATCATGTGTTCATTTGTTCAGTCGCTTCCAACTCTTTGTGACCTCATGGACCAGCCCACGCCAGAGCTCCCTGTCGGCCGTCACCACCCCCAGCTCCTTCAAGGTCAGTCCAGTCACTTCAAGGATGCCATCCATCCATCTTGCCCTTGGTCGGCCCCTCTTCCTTTTGCCTTCCACTTTCCCCAGCATAATTGACTTCTCTAGGCTTTCCTGTCTCCTCATGATGTGGCCAAAGTACTTCAACTTTGTCTCTAGTATCTTTCCCTCCAGTGAGCAGTCGGGCTTTATTTCCTGGAGGATGGACTGGTTGGATCTTCTCGCAGTCCAAGGCACTCTCA